ATGTCATTATACACCTGAGTATATTATAGTATTGTTATAATATTACAGTTTATATCTATAATAATGAACCAGCATAATAATTTTTAAATAGGTATATTATAATCTTCTTATTAAAAAAAACAGCACTTGACACATTTAATCGCAAGATTTCCATTCAAAATGGCTGGTTTTCATGTTTTAAGAAATAATCAGGTATCTGAAAATTCACTTATGTGAATGGGATAACATGAAGAAGAAGACATCTAAATAACACGATCTTTCAAGTGAAATTGCCTAACATCTCTTTAACGTCCAAAAATGGAGAAATTTCTTGCACATCAATTAGAAGGGTGCTGCATTAAGCAGTGTAACAGAGAACACATGTACAAAATTACCAAGAGTGATTCTTGATATTTTTATTCCCTGACAGTTTAGGTACAAACAATTATATCCTCCTTCTATACATAAAATAATAACAAAATTCCCTTCAAAAAGTTCTTTATGATTTAACTTTATAAATACAACAAAATAGCTGGAAGAAATTTCTATGCCTGGAAAATAAGTATAAATGTAAAAACCATGGCATCCGAAAAGTCATGAGTACAACACATAATGAAAAACAATACCAAGTAAGGACTATGTAATGACACGGTGGCTTCGGGTGATTAAAGGATTACTGTATTTATGGGGAAGACTCTGTTGTTTAGAATCTTCATAAATAAATGGTTTCAAAATGAAGCCTTCTTAATGAAGTGTTTATAAACATATATTTATAAAATATACTACATTTCCAGAGGTATAGTTATTATGCCCTAAATCTTAAACACTTTTATGAGATGGTTTGGGGAACTTTTTCTCTTAAATGAAGTGGGCCTAGAAGTAAAAAATTGATACCAAGTCTCGTAAGGCCACGCACAGCCTAATCAAAGCAGCTCCCTGAGTCAACTTGTCCAGGGGCTGAAATCAAGTATTCATCACCCTCACATACTGAGGGCATCCTCTGTGCGAGGCATGGTCCTGAGCTTGAGTCTGCAGCAGTGAACAAAATCAAGTGTCTGGCCTTATGAAACTTTCATGTTAGTGGATAGCTAACAAATATTGAGGGTTTATAATGTACTTGTCACTATTCTACACACTCTAGATGTACTAACCCATTTAATTGTCACACTAACACTGAGTTAGAAACTCTTGTTATGTTCATCTTACAGACGAAGAGGCCGAAATACACAATTTAAGTAATTTTTCCAGTTAACTTCTTTTGGATTTCTATTCTCTCCACTATTTCCTCGCAAACGAAACTGTATTCTACAGACAGATGCTACCGTTATTCTTTTTCCCTCTCAGCCATCTTAAAACACACACACACAGACAACAGTACGCCATGGTTTACAAAAGGCAGAAGGGGATGATTAAAAGCATGAATGCACCAGTTACCCTACTCACTGGATATGTGACTTTTAGCAATTTTCTTCACCTCAATAAACTTCAGCCTCTTCCTTTGTAAAATCGATAAAAGCAGAGCACCTATTATTCATAAGGTTGTTGCAGGGATTAAATGAGATAGTAAATGTAAGGTGCTTAGCACAGTAACTGGTACCGAACAAGCACTCAACAAATGTTAACTATTAATATTGTTCTTTGTTTTTTATTGCTGAATGGAGCTGGAGACATAAACAAACATTTATTGGATGCTTGCTAATATTTGCTAAGTATTAAAAGCATTACATATCATAATTATTGAAAAAACACAATTCAAAGTACAAGATAACGAGTAACAGGTATTATTTTTATAAAGTGTGGGCAGAATATTTTTTATTACAAAGTCATCTGCATTCACACTGTGCTGGACTTTTCAGTTAAAACTAACTTGTCTAATCTAGGTGTTTTTATTTTTTTTCCAGTATTCTAGTAGGCTGATGTACTGTTATTTGGGACATAAAAGCACAAGTATAATGGTTCTCACGACACTGGAGGGTTTCATTGGAGTCATGGCCCCATCAGAACAGCAAGTAACATGGAAAAGTAAATAGGGAGCCAAAGTTGATCTTCATTAAAATTATTTAAAGCTTCTGAAGAAACAAGGAAGAGTGAAGGAACCAAACGCAAAGATATAGAGGAAAAGATCCTAAATAACCATGCCTCAAAATACAACTCTCCCCCCCAACACACACCTTACAAGTCATGAAAACAAGACACTGCCACTTTCTTCATTTTTTACAACGGGTCCCCTAATGGCTGCAATATAACAGCCCCCACACATTGCCTGCGTTCTTTGTGCTGGCACTGTGCTCTCTACTTTACACACATTGCCTCACACAACCCTACTACCAGCCTGAGAAATCAGTAGCATCCCACTTTTTTGCAGATAAGGAAATTAAGGCTAAAAGCTAGCAGATCTCAGAGACTAGCTGAAGGAATTTTATCCGGTAGGAGAGCATCAGTCACGTGCTCTTCTGGGTCCAGAAAGAAAAGGCAATCCACCCATCCTCCTTGCCTTTCAATCATGCTCACTGATCTTCCTTCAATGCAGGATTGTGTCTATAATAAAGCCCCATTGGAAGAGACAGACAGTGTAGGAAAACTTCACCTCTGACTGCTCTAAATGATGGTTGTGAGGGTGACCAAACGGTTCACACACTACCACATGCTGCATGGTGATCCTCTCCTCATCACAACCAAGCACATGCAGTCTAAATAGTCCACTTTATCAGCACAGAGTACAAAGCTAAGCAAATCCTCAATTCCTAAATATGTAGCCACTCAGCATAAATATACATATTTATATTCTGCAAAAAGGTGAAAAGTAGAGTTCTATAATATTAGCCTGCCAAATGCTAACAAAAGTTTTTATCTCTGAATTTGTCTACAATAAACATAAACTATAACCTACATCATACATAGATGCATAATGAATATTTTGTAAATGGAAGAAAAATTCCACTATAGATTTCAAAGGTTTTACTCTTACCATTTAACATAGATGTCTAGATGTTCTACTGCTAGATTTAACCAGTTCAGGTTTTGCAGTCAAATACACCTGGACTTAAATTCAGGCTCTGGGCCCTGCCACTTACTGGCTATTGATCTGACCAGAGTTACCTGTTGTAGTTGTTTTTCAATTGTAATGTCATCTATTTAACAGGTCCATTGTGAATATTAAATAAGATCATGTATTTAAAGAGCTAAGCATGATACCTAGTACATTGTAAGTGCTCACTGAAATGGTGGCTATTATTACTATAATTAAGGCCTTCAATCACTACAGTGCCTTTATTCTCAAAGTACTCCAAAGCGTATCGTTAGTTGTGTGTGTCTGTGTGTATTTGTGAAAAACACTATTATGGCCCAAATCATGCGCTCTTCTCTGCATGGAATACTAAGCTACAATATATACATTACTAAACTACAATGTATATTACAGCATATCAGTGCAAAACTTACCCAAGTATTTTAGGTATGTGGCAATGTGCACAATAACTATTTTTATTAGAACTTGGAAAGAATAGCAGTTTAAAATATGGGTCTCCACATTTCCTTCTTGTTATTCACGGATGTCAGAACCACAGAGAGACTATGCTTTGCCCCCAAAAATGGCATTCCTAGGAATCAGTCTTTTTCCAAATCACCAAAATCTAGAGTTTAGGAGGAGTCTTTATTTGTGAATTATGACAAGTACTAAGCCCTGTGAGATTCTGAATCAAGATAGTCAAGTAAAGGATTATTTTGCAGCCACTAGAAAAATCTCAAATCATATTGTACTTGTGGTTACAATGAATTCATCAATAATGATAATCAAGTTTAAAACATACATCTTAATCTTGTACTAAATAACCGTACAGTATTCTAGCTTATAACTGAAAATAAAAATATTTTATGCTAAGTTTTACAATTACATATACATTTTAGATATATTGGTGGGCAATCTAACGAAAGAAATGAGTGTTTTTTCTTTGTAGAGCATTTATTTGGGTACTAATAACAAAACAAATTAGGGCATGGAGCATGTAGAAAAAATTAACATAACTCCACTTGGACTGACATTAATTTTACACAAAATTAAAATTTCACAGGATCATAAACTGAAGAATGAAAAAGTTTAATTTAAACCTCAAAATGTGAAACAGAGACTAAGTTTTAAGAGATATTTCTCTTTTAAATATACTGAAAAATCTAGAGTGCTATGGAACAAGGACAACCTCTTTTGAAATATTAGGTTCCGTATAGTTTACATAATGTAGACAGATTTTTCTAATAAAGGCATTGGGTATTGAAAGGAGAATAAAGCACACACTGAGTTTTGTTTTGTCCAATTAAAAAACTTTTTAATCCTAAGGAAAAAAATGCTTACAATAACACAATAGTAACCTAGACTAGAAACATACCTGCAGCATCTGAAAATGAATATGTTTTTGAAAATAATTTTCTTGATTAAATTTCTTTTAAAGTTATTTGAGGTTTTATGATTTGCTGCTTTGAGTTTTATAAATGAAATAACCAGTTTGCACACATTATAATGTTCATTCAAACTAAACTTTAAAGGGTAAAATACTCTTTAATGCCAAGTACAGTTGCGTTCTAGATTTGCTGAAACTAAATTATCACCTAAGAAATGTTGGATATACTACGGAATTAACATTGAAAAATTTCAAATACCTCTCCTGATAATTTTATCTCAAGTTATTTATTTTAAAACAATAAGAGTAACAAAGTGAGACTGGCTTCAAGAAGTAACAGCCTGGTTCTTATTGTCCTCTGCTGATAGGAAAGTATTTCCTTTTAATACTGTAGTTAGCTATAACACACACATTTTTCCTTGGTAAAAATACTATTCTGGTTTAACAGGCTAGTTCTAGACTTTAAAAAAACAATTATTTATAAAATGTAGTGTTACATGATAGAAGAAAAATTATTTGCATCTCCTTTAAGTTATTCACAATACTTTGAGGCTTTCATTCTCTCCAGTTAGTGCAATTTATTTTTCCACACGTCTCAGCAGCAAACAATGTTATTTAGACTCTAACCTGGCACGCTACAACCTCTGGCCCGCCCTTGAGCCCCTCCATTGCAAAGGTCTCCAGGTGCAGTTTGGGTAGCTGCAGGGTGAAGTCATTCCTACTTGCCGCAGTCCGTGACAGCGAGATCTGATCTCTGACCTAAAGGGAAAAAAACAGCATCAATGGTAATTCCCCTTCAGACACATTAACTGGGATGAACTGGGTCCCCTTGAGCCCACTGAGTGGACTTGCATTGATCGCTGGACCTGAAATCCATGAATAAATTTAGGACTAATTGATTTTTCGTTGCAAATAAATCTCTAATTCAGAGTGCTGGGGGAGAATGTTAAGAAGAAAAAGCATCCTCCTGCTTGAAATAAGGGAGGGAAGAAGAGTCGCTGGAGCTCTTCTGATCAGAGGTTTTGAATTATTTTTTCACTGTTCCTCCCTCAAAAGAAAAAGGAAAGAAGGAAAAAACATCCACAAAATCGAAAACAAACAGCAGTCTCCTAATTATTATCCATTTCTTAATAACATGTGTAATTTAACTGGTATTAATTGGACAAGATTATCGGACAAGATAGTTATTAGGTACTAGTCTTTAAAAAGAAAACTTCAATACCATGTACCCTGAAATAAAAACAAATATACTCAACACACAAGGAGACTTGAAAATTTATTGGTAAGAGGTTTGTGTGCCCTTCTTACTCATTAAGCTGAGTCTTAACAATTAAATACATATCAACAAACTCGGTCATGCAACTTCTAAATAAGATAATGGATAAAATCAGTAGTATGTGGACTACATTTTAAGCGTTCGGAAAGGTAACAATACAAACATATCATAGATACAGGAGAAATACCAATTCTCCAGCCAGTATTGGAATCACATGCAGTCGATATTACACTGCCACCTTCTGGACAAAAGAGAAAATACTCCTTATAGAATATAAATAGATATAAGAAAATGTTCAGAAACAGATATTTTCATTTTTAATTTCTAAACTTAGTTAAAGCCTTAGAATTCTACAGTTTAGTTTGGTTTTAAGGTCAATAGGGTCTCATTTTTAATCATATACTTTAATGATAGAAGTTTTCATATGTAAGCATATTTTCTAACTTTCCTTATGCCTGAATTGGTTTTAAAAATTTATCTCTTTGCCACCATATATTTGATAAATATTATACAACTAGCTTAAAGCCACAGGATAAAAAGAGTTCTTATGAAGTAGCAAAGGTCAAAAATGGGGAGAACTAAAAAATAACACTAATTGCTCAAATAAATGTATCTATTTCTCTACTTGAGCAACTTCAAATGTAACTTGGCAACAACATATGTTAGAAAAACCGCTCCTTCATTTTTCAATTCTACTTAGGCAGCCTGTTAAACTGTTTGAATTATTTCTTATTTTATGAACAAAATATCATACTACATAGGGTTTCCTTAAACCAGCAAACACACACAAATGTGATGATGTCTTTAATTGTTCATGCAATTCTATGGGCATAAAAATCCTTATACTTCCAAGTTGATCTGAAGAATTTCTGTCAATAAGTGAATGTCAAAGTGTAGGCTGTAAATCCTACACTATAATGCAATTTTTAGAATAGTGTGAGTATTATCTGCACGCTGGAGTCCAAATTTAGAATGTATATTTATCTGTAACAAACATTTTCCAGAGTCTTCAGTCAAGATGAGAACACTTTTAACTTACATAACATAACAAAATAAATCACATTTTACAAATACATTTGCTTTAGGTTTTATATTTTATACGTATGGATACCTTCTCTTGCTTTTTTTTTTTTTTTTTTTTTGTCACCAATGTGCACTCAGATAAAAGAAAACATTAATGTGGATTAAGGTACCGATAATTTATCAACATCAAACCACTAGTGTTTTGCCTTCTACCCTTCTGAACCATAGTCAATAGATCTAAATATTTTACTGCACCCTGGCCAATTCATTGTTTGATGTTTAAAAACTCACCCAGAATCAAAGAAAATTTATTAAATTTGAGCCCCCAAATGAGATACTATTAGCTTTGAAAGTCAAGTTTAACTGCGATATTGATGATTCTCTTTTTTCTGTGACAAAATTCACTAGGGAAATCCTGGATGTCAAAGTACAAAAGCAGATTACTAATACGGGCAAAGCAGGGAGGGGGCACCATAAGCAGTGTAGGTATAATCCACAACACAGTTCGTGCACTGGGGTCCTTTAACCCGATTAATATCAGGCACCATGCTTCATCTGTGATGCTTGACATAAGGAACTTACAGTAAGCCACATTTTATATTCTCTAAACAAACTTTCTGAACAATATTAAATGGAGGCATTTGGGGGCATTAAAACTGTGATTTATTGTCAAATTAACATTTTCACTACAACTTTATTTAACTTGTCAAATTAAAGAATTCTTTATCTTAGAAAAAGAAAACTCAAAATGCAGTTGCTTTGCTAAACCTAATGATGGGCATCATATACATTATTTGAATAATATGCGTGTGTTAATACTTTCATTTAGCTATAAATTATCTGTTGAATGTTAACAGTGCCGGCGAGAGACAATGACTCATGATAGATATAATATCACAAATATTTCTACTAAAATTTAATTAAGAGTGTTTTCCACTTTTAAATTAAACCAAAACTTTGAGAGTAGGCATCTAAAATGTTCTCCGAACATTTCTAGAAAAGCTTTTTAAGTCTTGAAATAGGATTGGCTAGGAATTCTTTTATTTTAATGGGTAAGGGGAGTGAAAACATGATGTTGAGAGAATACAAAACAGCCAACACTAGAACAAGAAAAAATATAATGCTGCATGCAGCCAAGGAGCAGGAAGGAAAGATGACGAGGAAGAGAAAAAGTGGAAAGGTGGAAGGGGGAGACTGTTGAGAAAGAATGCAGAAGGCAAGTTTGAATTTCAGGGTGTGAACAAGGGTAAACAGAAGAGATTCAACACAGAACAGTAAGAAAAAGCACTCTCTCTTATTGTATTAAATCTGTCCATGAGAAAAATAGAACAGGCGGGCTGAGAACAAAGTAACTAAAAACAGAAAAGAGAGAAGTAGGATTTGTTTAGGAAATACTGCCCTTTATACAAAATTATTCCTTTCCAACATAAGAATCTAAAATAAATTTCTTCATTGGCAAAAAATTTTGAAGTAACAATATTAGAATAGGAAAATCATTTTTTTTCCTAAAGGAAAAAGTAGGCTCACCTTTTAAAGTACAGATTTTAGTGTGAATTAGGATTAAAACCATCTTTATCATTTGTCTATGGATTAAATTATAATTTCAAATTAATTTTAAATTATAATTTCAAAAGCCAGTCTTTAATTTTGTTTACAGCACATCATTATTCATCCTACAATTAAGATTCTATACCCTTTTCACTGTGATTTATCTATAGATGTGAGCAATAACAAATATATTTACAATGTTTTTCTACTTCAAATGGCTCACAGTTCATTTTTAACCTATAATGAATTTTTTCATAGAATATCACAATGTAAATCTCAATTGTTAAATTACATACATTTTATAACATGCTACACAACTGTACAATTTCATAATATTTTGACACAGAACAAAGAAAAACATGCCTACATTACTCCATTCTAAAATTCTGATTTTTAGAGTTTACTTTCTTCCTTTCATATTACATACTTTCAGAAAGCACATATTTCTAATAAATATGTCAAAAGAAACAAGAGATGTATGAAGAAAAATAAATGAAACTTTCAAGAAGTCAAAACATTGCTATAAAATATATATTTATTTTATTGTAACAATCTAGTTCCAGATTTAAGTAATTCATAAAATCCATGTGTACTGTTTCTACTCCTCCGATTAGCCTTTCCTCACAAGCCACTAATCTATTTTCTAATTTTCTGTATTTCTACTGTAACACCAAAAAGGCTATTTCTGCTAGATATATCAACTATGAAATTAAATTAGTTATTTTTAGAAAAACTGCTCAACTCTCAAAATGTGAACCTGCATCTTTTATCATGCACAGCTATAAATCTCTCTGGACCCAAGGTTCCAAATAAAAAAAAACAAAACCTTATGAAATGTAGTACTAGCCGGGTTTTTACCAATAGGATACCAAAGAAGAAGTAGTAAGGATTGCAGATAGAAAGTCAGATACACTTAACACATGTAAAGAGATCTATACAATGCCCGAATCTGAAATATGTAGGAAAAGTAACTGATATTAGGACCATACATCATAGTCTTAATCAGCCTAAAATTGTATTTACTCCAATTTATTATGGCCTCCATTGATTCAAAATAAACATTCTGACCAGAGATATTCCCATCAAACACAGACCTCCACAATATTTCCTGTAGCCTCCATTCTTAACATTGTGTTTATGTTTTACTTTGCCTCCATTCCCTGCCTTCCTTTGCCCTACTCCCTTCTCTGTACCTCCTTCTACTTCTATTGATTCCTTGTTACTTTCCTTTCTCTCTACTCTATTTTTCATCCTACACACTAGAGCAGCCTATGCACTATTTTTCAACCTACGCACCAGAGAGCAGTGTGTAATTGGCACACTACAGCCCACGGACCAAATCCAGCCCACCACCTGTTATTGTAAATAAAGTTTTATTGGAACACAGCCACACCCATTCATTTATGTATTGTATTTGGCTGCTTTCCTGCTACAACAACAAAGCTGAGTAGTTGAGACAGAGACCAGATGGTCCACAAAGCCTAAAATATTTACTATCTGGCCCTTTACAGAAAATGTTGGCCATCCCCTGCCTTGGAGGTATAGAAGGAAAGATAATATTTTTCACCATCTATAAAGTCTTTAAAAATGACCACATCTCACCAGAGAATGTATGACAATTTCTAGTCAGTCAACCTCCTATTACTAACACAGGGTACCATTTCACAGACACTTTCTGGCTCCTTTTTGCAAATGTTTCATGAAATAAGTGTACTATGTCCTGATGTATTTTCAAGTTTTATATAGTCTAATATACAACTTGACTGAGTCTAACTTTCCTGGCACAACTACTGTCACCCATCCTAATATCTAATCAACAGAAAATTTGGTTAAATAAGTAGAAGAGGCATCCAGGAGAGCCTTTTGTAAACAGAAAGAGGAGGGAATCAGCCAGAGCTAACTGTATACTCTG